TGAGCCAGGGCCAGGGACCATCCAGGGGGTCCAGTCAGCAGCTGAAGGAGACGGGACAGGGGACAGGGCTGGAGACAAGGCCACGGCATGGCGCCGAGGGGCCCATCCACGGGACAAGGCCAGAGGCAGGGACGGGGCAGGCTGTGGCGTGGCTGGGGAAGGGGCTGACGGCCCTGGGGGGGATGACGTGGGGCCCTGGGCTGTGGGCAGGTGGGGGAGCCCCAGGGGGCTGCCAAGGGAGGGTCAGGCCGCTGGTGCCCTCAGGGCTTCGGCAAAATGGGCCCTTACTGTGAAGTGAAACTTTATAAGCAGCTGGTGAGAAAACTGAATTGGTTTTCCATGCCTTTAATGGAAAACACAGTCCTTAAGTGATTTGTTTTTTTCTTTTTTATTTTCATATTCCTTGCCTCCTTTCAGTTTTTATTCTGAGGATTTTTTTTATCTTACGTGAAGAAAATGTTTGTTAAAACATTTCATTTAATCCTGTAATATTTCGTGTTTGTTTGCTCAGGTAAATCACACCTTTTCTGGCCACTTTGACAGTTGTGTGTGTTCACCAAAGCTGCCGTGCTGCCTCATGAGGGTTGCTCTTTCAATGGCTGCAGCCTTCGTCTTCCTCTGAGAGCTGAACTGCATCCTTCGCATTACGCCGTCATTGGTCAGTGAGTTGAACTGATGTGACACATCAGGAGACTTTTATGAGGAGATCATCTGCCAGGAAGCTTAAATCGTAAGAAGGGACATACGACTTTCCTGAACTATATTTCCTACTAAGCATGGTAACAGTTCTAGCAAGTAGAAATTAATGCCACACTGATTCAAACTGAAAAGGTTCAGTTCAGCAAAGGGACATGAAACATTCTGTTTGGGGAATTTTGATCTGTTTCCAGAATTAAATTTCAAAAACTTTACTTTATTGGAAAAAATATCACCCTGACTTGTTAAAAAAAGAAAAAAAAAAGCCATGAAATCTGCAGGAAGTTTTTTTTACCAATTACAATTTTTTCTTTTTGCTTCCTTGCTTTTACAAACATTTCTTTTTTTTAAGTCTAAAATCTCACATTCTTGTTCCACCAGCAGCCCTACTTTCATAACAGTATTCTTGAAATACCTTCTGTACAGTTATGTCCAAATAGAGCTAGAGGAAGAAAAGGGATAACATCTAATAAGCAGATTCCATCTCTGGTTGCCCAAGTAGGAAAAATGCAGAAGGTTAAAATGGATTGACTGGATTTTCAGCTTGAATTAATAAAGATATGACTTCATAAAAATGCTTTGGAAAGGATAATAGCTGCTTTTAAAACTTTTACAAAACTATCATTCGGCACTACTGAGGAGACATTGGCTCTATCATCTTTGTAATTGCTCTTCAGGTAGATCTAAGTTGCTGTTAGATCACCCCTTAACCTCTTCTCTGCCAGACTAAAGCCTTGCTCCGTCAGCATCTCCTCACCGGTGCTGTGCTCTGGACGCTTGTCCACTTGATGTCCTGCAACTGAACCCTCTCTGGCTTCCCTACATCCTGC